AATAATGATAAAAATAACAACAACACATAATTAACCTAATACCGTTAAAGAAAAACGTGTTTGATAGCATTTCTGCTTTGTATGACTCCACCGCGTTAAAATATTTCTGAAATGGCAGTGCCCCCCCTGCTGGTGACCCACGCCCCTCCAGTAGATGTGCTCTGACGCCGACTCTGGGTCAGCTTGTGACTCACTTGCACTTTGCAAAGTACTGTCCCTGTTGAGCCGCTCTTCGCCTCTGATGCTGCCGGTAGACGATGCCGAGGTTCTCACGGCGCAGTTTCTCTTTTAGATCTAAAGGACAACTATCACAGTTCTCTGGTTTTGGGTGTTTTTCAGGCAGACACGACCCTTGGGAAAGCTCAAACTCCTCTACATTGACACATGCGGATACATCTGCAAGTTTGGCATTGCTCTTTAGAGTAATGGGTTTGTCAGACAAGTTGGTTAGTTTCATAGGTACCCAATGATCGCCCCATAGTGGTGTAACTATTCGACCAACCACAATGTTACGTGGCATTGCCTTGGAAGTGGTGGGCTCAACAATAACTGTACTGCCAGGGGATATGGGCACATTTTTCGGCAGCTTAGCCCAGACCAGATGTTCTTGCCTGGCCATCAGTGTGACGGACTGCCGCAGTTTAACTGTCCCAATCTTATCTGGAAGCTCATCTACTTGCCACAGGGTAGAGTTCACCATAAGATCCAAAAACTGCTCACACCCCGGGGAGAGGCTGCCACTAGAAACAAGGCGCACATAGACACTGGTTACTTTGAGTTGACGCATTAAATATCTGATGACATTGGTGCCTATTATCAAATCATCCCACTGCCCAGGAACTACAAGAACTGGCACAATACAGCTTTGTCCGTACAACTGTGTCTCAATATCATACATGCACTTAGGCTTACTCAATGTCCCACCACAACCTACGAGCACAATCTCACGGTTCAACGGAATGGGGTCTGAAAGTGGCATTTTGCTCAATATCTCTGACTCTGCTTTTTCACTGAGAGTACAAGCCATCGATCACGAATCTAGCATTCCCTTCATTTCCAGAGTGTTATTGACTTTAACAGAAGTGTAAAACAGCTCGTCATATGGGCCCACTCTCTGAGTATTTTGTATTATGACTTTAGCACCAGCCGGTGCTTCAGCGCATGCTTTGGCATAGTGTTGTTGAATTTCACCATTGAGGGTATCATCTTCACAGCCCACACATCCCCTCTCCCAATGCAGGCCAGTTAGTTTAATGGCTGGGTGTTCTGCTGAGAGGATGTGCCCATTTTTTGTTTGGGCTTAACATTAGGGCAATCTTTCTTAATGTGATTTGGCTGGAAGCATGCTAAACACAAGCGCTTTTGTCGGCAATGTGCAAGGGTGGAGTGCTTGGGGGACTGACAAACTCTGCATGAGCGTCTCTGGAAGTAGTCAGGTTTGATTGTATCAGACACAGCATGGTTATTTTGGGACAGAGTGCGGTCGAAAAGGCTCACTAGCATTTTTAGACATTCCTCATTACAAGATGACTTTGAGCTCTCATTTTGTTTGACTGGCTGTACATGACTTACAGGTTAGAGGGGGCTGGGCTCAGGTGTTTGTGCATGAACAGTGACAGGCTGTGGGCGTTTGGGCTTACATAGAGTGAGCTCTTTTCTCTCTGTCTGGTAACGGTCAATGTGCTCAGTCCATTTGTCTGGAGTTTTGAATCTGAAAACAGCAGCAAGCGAGGAATCAGGGCAATACTTTACAAACATCATGGCTGCTTCATGACACAGGTCAGTCATAGTTCTCCCCAGCCTTTTCAAACCCTCTTCAGCGGCATCTACAGCTTTATTTAACCGTAGCCAGTACTCGACAGGAGCCTCACCTGGCATTGGGACTGTACGGTAGAAATCGGCCATTGGCATGCATGAGTACGTTACATCACTAAAATGCTGCCTGAGAATGTCATATATTACGTTTGGATTTTCCTGACTTCAGGTTATAGTACTAAAAATGTTAACATCAACAGTGCAACAGTTTCTAAGGATCAAGCTGCACACCATAGAAGTATAATAATCAACTGTTTATTATAGATCCATGCTCCACATAGAAGTATAATAATCAAATGTTTATTTAGATCCATGCTGCACACACTCTAGGAGCATGATGGCGTGTTGCTGCCATCTACTGGTGGTCCGTAGTACTGCTGTAGACAGGTTTCGCTCACACTTTCAAATGGAGATTATTAACACACTCAGAACTCTGGGATGATTTCATGAGAGCTTTGGTCTGTGTTCAAATAGAGGAAGATTTAATGTTTCCAATTTGCTGGTAAAGCATCTCAGAGTGCCCAGGCTCCATCTTAGACTAGAGAGAAGGGAAAGCTCCTTTAGAAGTACTCTCATTTTGACAAGTGTAGTGACTTTTTTGGTACACTTTGAACACAGCACTGTTAGTAGTAGTGATGGTAGTAGTATCTAAAATAACTACTAAAAATACATCACATAAAATAAAAGAGTTATGCTTCTAATTGCTTTACGATGCTGCCTATATTTGACTTGACTTGGACCTGAGTCAGACTTGAGATTAAAGACTTGAGACTTACGTGACTTGGTCCCAGTGAAAACAGGAGTAAATGTGCTGTCGGGATAGTAGTGTCATTTCAGCATCTAATTGCTGATTGCTTATTATCTTCTGTTATATTATATATTATATTCAGGTTCTGTCTTCTCACACAGCCCTGGACCCTGGAAAAGACCTGCAACATGAATAAAACCAAAATCTTATATAAAATCAAACTAAACTAATCCTAAAATGACTTGAAACCCAAATTCATTTGTGTGGTTTATTAATCAAAACAAGCAAAAGTATTAAGCCCTGAGGACAGGATGAAGAAGACTCACAGAATCATACATTCAGTTACACTAATAAACACATTTGATTATTTACATGTAAATTCAAATTGATGCGTGGATTGAACACAACTCGAATCCAGCTCAATATTTATATGTAAAAAGTCGACTAAACTCTTGATTTTAAGAGTTTAATCCATCTTTACATTGTTTTCCTACTTTTTTCCGCATAAATAGTTGTTTTTGCACTAAGTTCTGTGCAGATGTAGAGCTGTGAGTGCAGTTTGGGTTGGTCAGAAAGAGATATGTAATAGTCTTGAGAGCTCGACATGGATTTAGTACACGATTCATTTCTTTAGTCCACTACAGCCCTTCAGATTACAATGTAAAGTTTATTGTGAAATCAGACAACCCGAGCAGCACGTATTGTCCTGGACTATATATCCAGTTACATATAGTCCACTGTGCTTAATCTGCAGTCACGCTCTGTACACCAAACCTTAAAAACATGCACCAGGGACTACAGGGAAATGAGCTCTAGTGCTACAACCTAGCAAAATACATCTCTCCTGTTAAGGTTCATGTGTACTGTGCACTGTCCCTGTCTCATAAATAAACAAAATAAATCAAATACAGCTGCATCTTCTGAGATTATGGGGACATGTTTTATTGAGGGAACAGCTGTAGGGTCTGTCACTACTACTACTACTACTACTACTACTACTACTACTACTACTACTACTACTACTACTACTACTACTACTACTACTAATAATAATAATAATACTTTTACTACTACTACCACTATTACTCCTAATAATAATAATACTTTACTACTACTACCACTATTACTCCTAATAATAATACTTTTACTACTACTACCACTATTACTCCTAATAATAATACTTTTACTACTACTACCACTACCACTACTACTACTAATAATAATACTTTTACCACTACTACTAATAATAATAATACTTTTACTACTACTACTACTACTACTACTACTACTACTACTACTACTACTACTACTACTACTACTACTACTACTACTACTACTACTACTACTACTAATAATACTAATAATAATAATAATAATAATACTTTTACTACTACTACCACTACTACTACTACTAATAATAATACTTTTACTACTACTACCACTACTACTACTAATAATAATAATACGTCTACTACCACTACTACTGCTACTACTAATACTACTAGTAATACTACTACTACTAATACTACTAATACTACTAGTAATACTACTACTACTAATACTACTAATACTAATACTACTGCTACTGCTACTACTACTGCAAGTCAAGTCCCAAGTCACTGACCTTCAAGTCCAAGTCAAGTCCCAAGTCTTAGTCCATTTTATCAAGTCAAGTCTCAAGTCCTAAAATAGTGACTCAAGTCAAATACAACTAATACTACTACTACTAATACTACTACTACTAATACTCCTAATACTAACACTACTAATACTACTAAGAGTAATACTACTAATGCTACTAATACTAATACTAATACAAATACTGATGATGATGATGATGATGATGCATTGGCTTGTGACTTTCTAGGCATTTTAACAAATCTTTTTACCAATCTTTTTAGATTTAGTTTGGCCCAACCATGGGTGGATTGACCGTGGATCTATAGTTCTATGGCAATAAAAAGTCCCCACCTCTGAAGAGTAGCATTTCTTAACAGCTATATTATCCTTTTTGTTTAGTAGAGACTGGCATTTCCAGGGCTGAAATTATCCAAATGATTCTAGTGAAGGTGTGTGGAGATGGAGCAGAGCGTTTTCAGAATCAGAACTCAGTGTGTAAAACAAAACACAACTCTAGGTCTGTTTGCGATGAGTGAACATTATAACATAGATCAGAACACGGCGTAATAATGAGCCCTTTAACCCAAGACGAGTCTCAAATCCAGCACTAAAAACAAAAGTTGCCCAAAATCTGATCTGTATTTGAAAGCCCTCAATGTCTTCTGCTGATTTTTTTGCAGAGTTTTGACACAAAGGCAGTAGCGATGGGGGCGGAGCTTATCCACATCTGGACTGAAAACATCTGGGCCCTTCCCCCCTTTCTCCAGCCCTTCTCCTCTCTGGGCTCTGGGACTCGGCACTTGAACGGACTTATACCATGGTTCGGTGCAAGACATCCCGGGTTGGAATCCTGGTTTTACTAAGTCTGTGTAAGTTATCGAGTTTGATCTTTTGAGTTTTCTTTTCAGCAGCTCAAAACTATAGCTGATCTAAGACTTGTTGTCAGATGTTTTGGGTGTACATGCTCTGAAATTCATTTGCGTGTTGAGCTGTCAGGAGTAGTAGACCAGGCTTGACATAGTGTAGATCCGATGTAACTTTGAATAGATTACTGAGAAATACGTGCTTTCGTTTCGTTTTACTTTTAGTCTTTTTCACGTTTTGGTTTACATCTAATTCAAGATCAAATCCAGACTTTAAACCTCAGGAATGAACTCTGTCTTAATGGCTAAAGTGGGATTAAACGACCCCAGTTATTTCTGAACAGTGACATTTCAATTGGAGAAATTTGAAGAAAATGTACACGCTCCAGATTTTATGTCTACGCTCTGTGTCAAATCTGCCATAATTTGACACACAAGCTTTGTAAAGTTGTGTTGTGGTGTAGTACAAAATCAAAATACGCTCCACAGTAGGTCAAAACTAAAGTAGAATTAACCCTAGAGCTAGTTTAGGTTACAATTTCGTGACAGTATTTCTGGATTTCAGCATCATCAGGTTGTCTTCAAGTTCTCAGGACGAGCTCAGAAGACTTCACTTGTACCTGCAAATGCTCGAAACTCCAGTATGCATCTGAGCAACTTTGACTTTTAGAATGGCTGAGATGTGCAGTTGAAATAAAAGAGAATAATGCATAGAATGGCCTGGTTAGATGTGTTTTTTCAGGACTGAGTAAACTAAAGAGCATTTGTGTAAGTTATTGTGCGGAAAAGTGAAGTGATCTCTGTTTGCAATTGCTTCATATTTGTGACTGAAATGAAATGCAGTGTGTGGAAAAGGAAAGACAGGGCAGATAACATGAGAAGACTCTTCTTTCTGCTGATTTTCATTCATTTCTTGTATGTTTAACCGTATAATTAGGGCTGGGTATCATTTAGAAGTTGTCGATACATCGGCCACAATACGATACAGGATATATTTCAAATCAATTCGATAAGGTTCAATAAAAAAATACAGGATATACTAAGTCTTTGTTAAGTCACTTCTTGTGCAAAGTGAATATGAAACACAAACATTTTAATCATCAAAACAGTGAAAATGTCAAATGTGTTGCATAAACGAGTTGCCGATCTCGATACATAGGCCACAATATGATACATATCTCGATACAGTGAGCTAATGATTCAATACGATTCAGTAAGATATATTTCAAATCAATTCAATACAGTTCAATAAAAAATACAGCATAAATCATGGCTGTGATACTAAAAGTCTTTGTTAAACCAATTCTTGTGCAAAGTTCATCTGAAACAATTTAATCATCAAAACAGTGAAAATGTGAAATGTGTCACATAAAAGAGTTTCCTTCCTCTGAATAAACAACAAAACTGTAGCGCTGTAACAAAATAATTTAGTAAAATATATCAGAAAATACTCGATATATCGATACAGCAGCCCACGATATTGATAATGTATCATCAAATTAATCGATATTATATATAGATATTTCAATATTTTTGCACACCTCTAGTTAAAATGCTGTCAGTGTCTTTTTATAATGTAATACACAAATAAATAAGCATCTGTAGCCATAGCTGCCCTGCTCCTTTTCATTCATTTCTTGTATGTTTAACGTTAGAACTAGGGCTTGGTATCATTAAGAAGTTGCCGATATGACACATACTTCAATACATAGGCCACGATATGATACATATCTTGATACAGTGAGCTTATGATTCGATACAGTTCGATAGAATATATTTCAAATCGATTCGATACGGTAAAAAAATAAAATAAAAAATACTGCATAAATGATGACTATGATACTAAAAGTCTTTGTTAAGTCACTTCTTGTGAAAAGTGAATATGAAAAAAAGCCCATTTTAAACATCAAAATAGTGAAAATGTCAAATGTGTTGCATAAACAAGTTTCCTGTTGTAACAAAATAACTGAGTAAAATATACCAAAAAATACTCCTGGCGATATATTGATACAGCAATCCATGATATAGATAAAGTTGTTGATATTTCATAAAGATGTCGATATTTCAATATTTTTGCACACCCCTAGTTAGTTGTGTTTTTCTTAATTCAAGCAACATTTGATTTTTTGATTTTGAAGTGCAAAAAGTTGTTGTTTTTCTTATTTTAAGTGTAGCAAGATGTATTTTCATATTTTAAGTACAAAAAGTCTTGTTCCACTGGCAGAATTTTACTTGTCAAGTGAAATTTACTGAAATCATGATGAAACTTTCTTAATTCGAATCATCTTAACTTGGCTCGATTTTCTTTTTTGCAGTGTTGCCATGGTGGAGCAGTAGCTAAAAACAGAGGAAACTGCATAGACCATGATCCTTCAGTGTTGTCAGCACAGACTACATGAAGAAATAACTGTTATGAAGCACTTTTAAATATTAATCCTTCATATTATAACAAGATCAAAGGCTTTTCAAGGGTTCTCCAAGGCTTTTAAAAAGGAAAAAGTAGCATATTCACAATTTTGTAATCCTCCACAAAACATCGTGATCAATATCGAACCGTAAGATGTGTATCGTGAAAATACTGTATCAATGGATTTTAATATCATTACATCTCCAGTTGGAATTAAATCATTCTAAATAACCTACTATTTTGGTGAAAGTTCTCATTTTACTTCCTGGTTTGGAAACGGACATGGGCAGCAGATAGATGCATGTAACCTAGCAACCATAATGTAAACAAAATTATACAACAGATTATTATTATTATTATTATTATTATTATTATTATTATTATTATTATTATTATTATTATCTGACAAATAAAAAACTAATGACAACACCTTTATTTTGTTAAAGGTGCACTATGTATATGCAATTTTTTGGTTGGGAGTCCGTCACCTGCTTGTTTTATGGATACAGTATGTTATTGATCTGCCTGCAATGTTACACAGTATGGCATTAAACAGCTCTACTTTTCATTTATTTATACTAAATTTACACCGGAACAAATCACCGTATCACTGTATCAGAAACGATCTGCATCCAGACACGTCATTTCTGTGTCCTCAAGCCTTCCCTATCCACACAGCTTTGAGCATATTTGTTTACGTTTTACCTAAACAAAATTTAAATCCACATGACTCATTTGCATAAACTCAGAGCTCAAAAAACAGCTCACTATTGTGCGCTGATGCAGTTCAGCTTCTGTCAAACTAAAGGACACGACTCAGTGGAATATGAGTGTTCTTTCTGTGACAGAGGGGTGTTCTGCTGATAGTGAGTCTGTTCTGTGCTTCTGTCGCGTTGGAGATGGTTCATGTGAAACTTTTCAGAGATTAAACATCTGCAGGTCGTACACACAGACCGTATATATGAATGGATATATATTCTAGCCTCTTAGCATTTTGGCGGTGAATTACTTCGCAGCAGACCTACATCAGCGTATCAACATTTTCAGGCATCCACACAGTGCCGGATCAAATCCGTACTCAGATTAATTTCGTGGGAGGTGGCAGCACCAGATCATTCTATCTCTGGAGCTGTTTTCAATCGGATTAGTGTGAACAAACACTGCATCCGCAACGAAAACTACTCAAATGTGTACTAGTGTGGACGGGGCCTTAGATACAAGTGGTTGTATAGCTCAAAAACTCCTACAAAACAGGAATTCTGACTGTCAGTGTGGCTGCCTCTCCACAGATCTGACCTGTAACTTGGTCTGGTTTGGTCGACAAGATAGGAAGGTTTAAAGCCATACTGTGAAACATCCCAGACAAATGAATAACATCTCTCTACCAGAAAAGTTACACAATGCACCTTTAAATCAATGTTTAAACCGTCAATAAAAAATGCCTTCCTTGCATTTTGGATGGAACTGATGACGTTTGATGACACTTCCTTTTCCTACTTTTACAACTTTTCTTCACAAACTGACCACACATCCAATCCCATCAAACCAAGTCAGAACTGGAAAAATATATGAATCTGTCAAATGCGCTTTAAGTCACTGAGTTGTGCAGTCTTGTGTCCACTGGCCCACATAAAACCCGAGCACATTTTGAGAGTACCAGCCTCTGTGTTCTCCAGTGTCCTCAGATCCACAGCTCACACACTGGCCTTTGTTCAACTGGAGATAATGGGTGTTTAATAGGCCTTCACAAGTTCACTATTCACTACAGGCCATCAATTTAGACACAGTTTTATTCTTTTATTTGTATGATTTCTATTCACTTTTTTTTTCTTTCTTTTTCCCCCTAATGACTTCTTTTTGATCATTGTGAGTGATTTTTCAATGATAATTTCAGTTGTAATGTAATTGGAAGATGAGTATATTGTAGTTGTATTGTTGTTGTAAGTTGCTGATACGATACATACCTTGATACATAGGCCACGATACGATACATATCCCGATACAGTGCACTTTTGATTCGATACGACATATTTTTCAAATAGATTCGATACGGTTCAATTAAAACTAAAAGTTAAATCATGACTGTGCTACTAAAAGTCTTTGTTAAACCTCTTCTTGTGCAAAGTTCATATATGAATCACAAAC